CTGTGAAACTGTAGATTTTCATTTAGGAAACAAATAGTTTTTCCAAATGTTTTGTATGTTTTGTTCCTCGAGCACCGCTGCACCACGGATTATGAACCACAACTGCATGTCCTGTATGACAATATGCTAATGCTACCAGTGTAATGAACCTGAATGGATTATACAGGCTAATCCAGATCATGTTATTATGGGATTAAGGCTTCATTAGAGCAGGAATGCCTCACATGTCTCGTACATTAGAAATTAATGCTGCAAGAAAGTAAAACGTCAAAAACAGGTTTTCAATCAGTCAGAAGCATCGGTAAAAACCTGCGGACATCATGTTTTTTAAAGATATCTGAAAACCACAAGTTCAGGTACGTGACAAAATCTTATCATCACAAGGTAAATGCTGTTTGGCGTCTGTGATGGTGACGCATGTGATAAACATGTACAATCATTTTAAACATCATAGAAAGTGCAATGTTCTTTATTTCTTAGGATGATAAATAGAAAACTGAACCTAAAACATTCCTAAATTCTCATTCTCTGCTCCTTCTGTGTGTTTATCAGGGAGATCAAACCACTCAGGGACGTTTTCTTGAGTCTGAAACACAACCTGTGTCCTTCACACCGCTTGTTTGATTTTGAAAGCGGCTGCATGTGTATGCGTTGTGTGTGTGTGTTTATCTCAGCAAAGCCTCGTCAGACTGACGGAGCACGGAAGCTACATGCTCGTATTAGCATTTTATCAAGTGACCTTCCTGCTCTTCAGTCAGTTTTCTTTTCCCTCAATTAAGACACAACATGTAGATCTGCAAGATCCAGACATTTTCCAAAAAATGTCCCTGTGAGCCGACAGGAGAATACAGCAGGAAAATCGGGAAATTTCATGGCGAGCGAGTGGTTGATGATGTTTCCAACACGCGACAGACACCAAAGTGAAATAAATAAATAAATAAATAAATATATATATATATATATATATATATATATATATAAATACTACAAATACCTCAGGATGAAAAGGAGGAGTCGTGCACGTAGAAGATGCAGAAGAAGAAGTTGGAAAGACAGCGAGATTCAAGCGTTTGGTGACAATGACAGTGTCGATGTGTCCTAAATGAAAACGTTCGATTTCCACAATGGAATTTAAACTTAACGCCTCTTGCATACTAATTATTTCTGAACACGTCTGATCTCCTGCTGCGTTTTGAATCAGTGAAAGCCAAATTGCGGAAATTGTCCGGACCCAATTTTCTGGATATTTTTTCTGAGTTGATGAGTTCATGTCTGAAAACACATGCAGAGAGGACTGTGTGGATGTAATTTGATTGGCGTGCACGTGAAACGTAATAAGGATTAAACTGACCGTTTCACCTCCGGCAGCATTTTTCTCCTCGGTCGCTCTGCAGCAGTTTGTTGTTGCCACAGCTGCAGGATTCTTAATTACTGTGCTGGTAATTAGTGGTTGTCTATAATTGGGATAGGGACTCCAGACTGTCATCCACCCACAATGCCCTTTGTTTATAGTGTTTTCTGTTAACACAAGGAGGACGGGTGACACACACACACACACACACACACACACACTGGGAGTCTGGCTGCCTTCATGTGGCTGTGCATGCAGCTGTGACTGATGTTCTAACAGGACACAGGGGGATGAGATACAGTTGATCCTTCAGGCAGGACTCTGGAACAAAGGAGGTTCTCAGGGGACGACAGGGTTCAGTCTGGTGGTTCGACCATAAACACATCCCCCATTGTCGTCAGCGTCGAGGCACATTTCACCATCCTCAGTATAAATCTACAAATGAGATTCCATCGAGGCGTCACTTCGTTTGGATATTTGGAATTTTTTACGCTGAATCAAGGTGGCGTTCCTCTCATCAAGGCCGAGAGTCTTTTAGCGGAGGTCAAGAGTAAAGTAGAGCATTCATTTGTTTAGACTCTAAAATTCCACAGCTTGAAATTAAAGGGTATTTTTGAGTGTGGTCAAACTGACTCAAGCCGAGAGGAGGTTTGAACCCACAGAAGAAAATCAGCAAAAGCCACTGGAGCTGGAGATTCTTCTGGAGCTGGGTGATGTGGCTGGAATCATCCATCCATGATCTACAGCGCACCCGTGTGTCCTGTGGAAGGTCACGGGATCTGAAGCCTATCCGACCTCCACTGGGCTGATGATCATTCACTCAGAAGTAATCACAGCAGCAACATCACGCCACGTTTAAAACAATATCACAGTGTTTACGATGCAGGACGTTTAAAGTTTCTTCTTAATTCAAACACTAGCTTCATACAGCAAGGACACACTTATGTAAAATTATATCAGTAATATCAGCATTCTCAGGAATCCATAAGGTGTTGTTATCTAAATCCAAACCAGTCATATAAAGTGGAGTCATTTTCTATACCCTTCTGTAAACCGTGCAAAAAACTAATCCCAACATTCAACCCTGATCCTTTTAACGACCCCAGTAATGACTGTTCTTTAGGGTCGGACTAATTGGAAGTCAATGAAGTACAAAAACACATGAACTCTGCCAGTAAGTTAATGGAAGCTAATTATTCTGTGTCCGGTCGAGCTGATCTTGCTCCGAAAACAAAACCAGTGCATTACGAAGACGCATTAGCATTGAAGGGCCCCGGAGCCCGGTGTACACCTGCCATGCATTTCTGCTGGTTTAGCCCGACACATCGACCTGTCTCGTTTAATCTGGTCTCAGTGAATCCTGTTATGCAGTGCACGTGTGTGTGTGTGTGTGTGTGTGTGTGTGTGTGTGTGTGTAGGAGCCTGCGGGTCCACTGTTTGACCTTTCATCACATCAGCCCGCTGACTGAATCCATGTCGAGCTCAGGTGTGGAGCAACAAGGCATCACTGCAGGACAATGGAAAATCTATGAGAGTCTACAGTGTGTGTTCTTTCACGACGTTAAACGTTACAGCAGTTCGTCATGTTCACCGACAAACTGAAAGAAAAAGCCCCCGAGAACGAGTTTGTTTGAATTTACATCTCATTCACACGGAAAAGAAAATGGTTTTGGATTTTTGGAGCCCAGCTTGTACGTAAAATTTAAAATCTACAGTTATGACTGCGAAACAGAAATAGATTCAGCTCATAAGAACCATCCAGGTTTTTAAAACTATGACTTCAGTAAAAGCTACAGGCATCAAATCCAAAGTTAATATAGGTTATATTCATGTACTTCTCCAGGGACACTAGAAAACGGCCTTAATTGGTTCAATTAATCCATAAAATGATGGAGAGGAAAATTCAAGTCACTCCCAATTAGTGCCAGCAAAACTAAACGAATGAAGAATTTGATTCCTGCTAATGAGCCAGTGGTTTCTGCGTTAAACCACGTGTGTCAAACATTATGCAAGCGAAGCAGTTACATGTTTCACGGTGCACTCATCCGTGTCCTGAGCCTCCGTTCACTGCTGGATTCAAACGCTTTTCCACTCACGTGACCAGTCAGTCATCATTTCATCAACTATGCATGAGCTCCATTATACAGCATTTTCCATTCCTGCACCAAAACAGAGGAACTGCTACTTGTGGAAATAAGACAGTTTTACTGAATTCATTAACATTATCTGATTGCATCCTGGAAGTCAGCCAGCTTTCCCATCAGCCCCGGGGGCGTTTCCAGTCAGTGCTTGGATGCACCTGCTTCCTGACGACCACTCATCCCCAAAATGTTCCACTAAAGGACTCCTGGGAGGATCCAAGAACCTGCAGGGGCTCCCAGAGGAACAACTGCACTGCCTCGGTATTTCATTTACTAAATAGCATCACACAGCGGGAACTGAAAATAAAGACAAATGCTGTCATCTTTTAAAAAGCTGCATAAACTCTATTATCTGTGGTTGAAATCGTTCACACCAGCTCAAATCTTACACCTACGATTTGATGAACATGATAATAAAACCAGTTGTCGTGCTCAGTGAGAGTTTGTCTACAGGACTGTCTGACACCGATCAGCGATCAGGCTGTCGGGACAATTCCCAAAGGTGAGGAGAGTTCAGCCTGGCAGCTGTTTCCCTCCTTGGCTTCAGGTAATGACGTTAAGATCGTCAGTGTGTGGGAGTCAGACCATCATGTCTGCAGCAGCCTGAGCTTTGCTCAACAGAAAACAGAACAATAACATTTGGATTTACATAAATATCTGATTTAAAATGCTTTGACTCTCGTTTTATTTGCTTGTATATAAAAATTGAGAAAATAATATTTTATCATCTATGACCAATATATTTGACTCACAGGCAAAGATGTCGCTTTGGGTTCTCTTATATTTGTATATTAAAAAAAATAAATAATGATGTTTACAGCTCCAATTAAAACACAAATTCACAGTTTCTTTTCATTTAAAAACACAACATTACATTACACGGTAATAACTATAATAATAATTAGTTCACAGACGTTCCAGTTAAAGGTCCAAATTTCTATGGCTTAAAAACACTGGTTTACAACATAAATAAATAAATGAATATATATAATAACTATTATTTTAAAACATGATAAATAAAATAAATCAATCTATCTATAAATCAAAGTCAATCTTAGATGATCAATACATCTCAATAACAAGAAAAATAAGCCGCTTTGGGTTCCTTTAATTTTTGTTGAGCATTTTTGTCTTGCAATATAGTTTATTTAATATTTGATACCAGTTCTATAACATATATATATATATATACTTCAACACATGAAGTCAAACTATGACCGGTTGCATAAGAATAACCATATTATATATATATATATGTCAAACACAGTGAATAGAAAGCAGCCATTCCTGGTGATTGAGGGAGAAACATTAAGCTCATAAAAGTGTAAAATCCCAGTCGAGGAAAAACAAACACACAAATCTCCACAGAGCTTCAGGTGAAACCGCATCATTGATTTACGCGTAAAACCACGAGGTGTCCATCACGCATCAGTCAATCATCTGCGTTTTGCATTTAGGAGACGAACACACACACACGTACACTTGGTGTCATCGTGCAGGTTACTCACTCTGGGTTTTTCCAGGGATCCTTCACATCACATCAGAGGATCCTCTGTGGATCCACGTTCCTCGGGCTGAAGGAATCCGGGATCCGTGCGCGATGGACGGAGACGGGCACCGCCATGAAATCACGCACTGAGCGATCATCGGGACTCAGTGTTAATATGAGAGGTTTTTTATTTACTTCACGCACACACCGACCTCCTTCATGTGCGGGTTTCTCCTTGGGAACTGTGATGCGTTCACGCCTTGCTCGTAGAAAAAAACATCCCTTGCAGTGTTATGTTTGGATCAGCTGAGGAGGGGAGGGTTTAATTCCTTCACTCCCTAGCCTGATAATAACAAGGCAGCAGTGTGAAAGAAAGATAGAAAGAAAGAAAGAATTGCTCATATAGGACTGACAGCAGGCAAGAGAAAATGATTCATGTTTCAAAGCAGTGCAAGAAAAGTGGGAAAGCTCAGCAGCGAGGAACCATCAGTGTGACCTGAACATATGAATCAATACGTTTACAGCTTCTATACCAACTCACAACCCAAGATCATAAAGGATTTGCTTTAAAATGCATCTGCAGCATCACCTAATAAGACATGATGGCTCATAGAAGCAGAATGCACCGGCTCACCACTCAGTTACATGAGTCCAATGTTTCACGACGGTCAGTCTGGTGGTGAGGTCTGTATAGAAGGGAACATGCACAGACTGGACTCTGCAGGTGTTGAGTGGAATTCGTGTATTTTCGGCCTGTAGCGGTTCATCCTCATGACATTCACGCTGTGACGTTGATATTTCCGACAGCAAGTGAAGACACCTGCAGCCATATGCCAGACCGAGGCTCTCACTCTGGCTCCTGATTGGTCCAGATAAAAAAAAAAAAAAAAAACTGGCTGTGGTCACACTACGTCCCCCCTACTCCCCCCCCACCCCCACCCTCCCCCATGACCACAGAGACAGAGAGGTCAGATCGTGGTGGGGCTGTTCACTCTCCATCACTCGACATGAATCAATCTGAACATGACGTGTACAGACGCAGACAGCTGACTCCTCCCAAGTGTAAAAATATAAGAAATAAAACATGAAATAAATCATCGATCATTCACATACATTTCATTTCTATTGCACAAATTCATTGGAGTTTAGTCAATGTGCTTTACAGGTGACTGACAAAACAACGGATGTTAAAATGAACTGAACCAATCAACAATAGAAAAGACAACAAGAAAAGAAAGTTAAGATAATGAAAAATATGAGAATAATCCATTAAAAACAAGCTTCACAAATTGCAACTTTATTCTCAAAGGAAGCCGAACAACACATGCTTAACACTCGCTTGTAGTAGAATCAATCAAGTCTGTGACGATCTGTGAATTGTTTCCCCCCCAAATTCAACAAAAATGTTGAAAAACATCTTAAAGTTGCAATATTAGAGTGAAAGAACGAGAAAATTCCTCTTCCTAGTACTTTAATTCACACCTGCACTAAAAGTGAATGTTCTTTTACGTCCCTCCTCCGAGTTCTGTGAAAATCAATTCCGTAGTTTTGATTCTGGGAAAAAAAAACCACACACAGAGGAAAGTATTGGCCGAGGTAATAAAACAAAGCTGGCAGAGATGTACAATGTCCAACATGTTTTGATACCACATGCTTTTCCCTTACAGTCATATGATCACTACACAGTTTACAGTCTGTAACATGAGAGGCCTATGAACTGGCAGATTGAATATGAGCCTGCAGAGAGCTGCTGGCTGAGCGAGTCTTTACTCTCCCCCCTGCAGAGCGGGGCTGTCGCCTCCGTCACCGCTGCTGCTCACTCACAACCCAGGAACTCTCCATTGTGCCTGGGCCGCAGTATTGAGAATGAGCGGATAGTTGCTTGGAAACAGTAAACCTTGCCTCCCACGATCCAAGGGCAACCCCCCCCCCCCCACCACCACCACAGTAACTGATATCACCAGTGCAGCCAGTGTTTACCTCCGTCCATGGAAACAGACCCCTGCTGGCTTCTCCTCATGGGATGTGGACACAGTGAAACAGGACTCATCTTTTTCAACTTGCATCATGTTTTCATTTGTATTTGTTTGTTCGTTTGTTTGCAGGGTTACGCAAAAACCACTCATTTGATTTCCTTGAAATGTCGGGCAGGGGTGTGACACACGTTCCAGGGGAGAACTTATCACATTTTGATGAAGATCCAGGAATTTTTCACTTTACTCATCATTGTGAGATTCTGCGCTTTTCAATATTTTGGTTGATTTCTCCGAGAACAATTCACGGATCTTGACAAAAGAAATCAGGCACATTTACAGGACTGATACTGATGAGTCAGATCCAAATAAAAATGCAGATAGAGTGAATTTTAGAGTTGTTTCAGAAGGGGACTGTTGGTGGTTGTGTTATCTATAATAATTTATGTTTTGTAACCTCTACTGACATCACCCCTATCCGATTATACTCCATTTTCTTGCAGCTCATAAACTTTTCCCCCACAAGCTAAAGGTCAAAGGTTAAACAGCCCCACTCTCCTCTCAACACTCTTCCACGCTCGTTTCTTTTTTCTTGTATTTCCCAAACTGCCCATGCATCACCACCTCATATGTTGTGAGCAGCAGGACCGTGTTGTGAATCCGGTGATTACACGTCTGAATAATCTCAACATTCCACTCGTCTCAGATGTTGATCCTTTAATGTTTGAAGGCAGCAGAGCATATGGTCGATGGTGAAGTGTGGACAGGGCAGGAATTTAAGGCTTAGGACTCAGTTTGAAGAAAGGAAGAGAGATTATTGTCGCTGCCTCACGGAGCTCCGAGCCCCTGCAGCCTGTGTGAGATCGAATGGGGCGTCAGTGAGTGTTGCTGCAGCAGTTCATTAGTCTCTGATTGCCAGACCTTCAGGACCCTCACAGTTGGTTTTCAGAGCTTTTCCAGCTAATTCAGTAATTACTGCAGTTTCACAACCCCGCCCACTGCTGCTGCTTTAATTTAGTGCATAAAGTAGTTTTGAGCATTGGGGCCTGCAGCTTGAGATTTTAATATATGTAATGTGAAATGAAAAGTCGGGACTCAGCACGTTCAGATTTGTAAAGTTAACAAACACAAGCGTAATATCAAAGATCATCTGAACAACATCTATACTACACATTCACATTTTATTGAGTCTAACACGTTGTATCATTGAGCAACAATTCATGCTGCATTTCAATTGATGATTTACTTTAGGATAAGTAGGCTGTACAGAAAGTCAATAACAGTAATTGGTGTAGCACAAATCTTCCTGTCAAACAGCACAAGCCATAAAATACTGATCGTAGCCAAGGCTACATTAGCATACAGATGAAATTTAATCAGTAAATTATTGTAAATTTGTAAGAAAAGTTCTGAAGTACATTATGAACTGTGGCCTGTTCTCCATCTTCTATCTCACAAAATCAAAACTGCATCAAACCCTACTTTTAAGATCTTAATCATTTAGTTTATATAGAGCTCGTTAAATGTTACGTGCATTCATACTATGTAGTTATTCAATATGGTTAAACTACTTATCATGAAGCGCTATGCTGCACATAATACTGTATATCAATAAACCATATTTATATAGTGTCTTTCATACAAACTTTTTATGCAAAGGTCAAAATGCAACAATACAATAAACTGTAGTGATGCAAATATAATTAAGCAGATATATTTAAATATAATAATATATATGCATATGTATTCATGTATTTATATGCATAAACAAGACATTTAAAAACAATCAATCCAGCAAAATGGATTAAGAGAATGTTGAACTAAAGTATTAAGATTTGTTTTAAAAGTATACTTTAGTAGTTTTATAAACCAATACACTAAATATATATATATATATGCATGTTTATTATGTATTAGTTGTATATAATAGCATAAAAATACTGTGTTGGTAAAAGTACAAGTGTTCAAGAGCATCAAGAAACCAAGTGTCATATACCCCTGTCATCACAAAGTCGTGACTGACAGGCGCTAAACCAATCAGCCAGGAGGGGGCGGGGGAATCGGCGGGTTCGACCAATCATAAGCAGGACGAGGCGGGACTGAGCGGCAGCAGTGAGGCGTTCAGGGCCGTGTCCGTGCATCGGATAAATCAGTAGGTAAAAGCGTGGACGCTGGGTGAAAGCGTCAACATGAACGGGACCGCGTACTCCAACTTCGACAACCAGGAACACGTCCTGAAACTGGGGGAGACGTTCGAGAAGCACCCGAAGAGCGGCTTCCACACGGTGCGCTGTAAGTGACGGCTCCCCATCACTGTGTGTCCCGGAGGGGCTAACGCTAGCATGCTAGTTAGCTTGTTAGCTCTAAAGTCCGACAGCTAGCTGTTTAGCCGCGTCGACAGCCCCGTCCAAACCGCCTGTTGGCCGAACTTTGTACCGAGCCGACTCTTCTGCGGAGTTTCCATCGTGTTCGTTGATAAACAAATAAATTCTCAGATATTTAAAGTGTCGATAAACCAGCTGTTCCGACTGTTTGCTAATGTTAGCATCGCGTCGATTTGTCCTCTGCTGCCATCTGCTGGGCTCCGGTGTGTAGCTGCAAGCAAACACGTGAACACAGCAGCTGTCTGTGTGCATGTGTGTAAAAGTACAATATACTAGTAATATTCACGAGTATTTGCATGTGTTTATTTAACTTGCAGTGCCTCCAGCTCTCTTGGCCGCCGTCGTGTTCATTTGAATGTGTTAAACATGACTCATTTTCATTTTCTCCTCCGACAGATGATTTCAAACCGGCCTCCATTGACACAGCGTGTGAAGGGGAGCTTGAAGTGGGCAAAGGGGAGCAAGTCACTATAACTTTGCCCAATTTAGAGGTGAGAGGGTGATGAAGGGGATGTTTCCTGCACCAGTTAAGCATGTGTGGGTGTTTGCCAGGGCAGGATTAACTTGTGCACCACGGCATGTCAAGAGCAACACTTACGAATAATTAACTCAAATGTCGGATCATTATTTATTTTTAAGTTTAATTTTAAAGTCTTTGTTTTTTTTACAAATCATTTATGTGTCCCCTGTGTTTGCTCAATGCATAAGTAATATAATATGTTGATATACATGTTACATTTGTGATATATCCCTATTGATTCACTGAAATAATTATTGGTATTGTTTTCTTGACTTTCAGCTCGAGGGTGAAAAAATGCTTGTCAGAGCCCTGTTGACACTCACATTTGTATTTTTGGCATTTTCAATATTTCCTCAGGCAAACAGGAACAAAGCTGTACGCCAGAGCTGAAATTATTTACAGATTGTCAAGACAATCAGTTAAAACTGTTTTGATGACTCAATCATTGTAATATAATCATTTTATATGCAAAATTGCCCAAAAGTAGCTGCTATTAGTTTCTTGAATTTGAATAGAATTTCCCTACAGGGATTAATAAAGTACTTCTGATTCTGAATGTGGGTATATGCTACTTCCTGGTGTTTTTTCTGACAATCAACTCGACATATTTAGGTTCTGGAGTGTTATATAAACAAAGTTCAGCAGTTTGAAGCTGCTGGACTTCAGGAGTAGGTTTACTTGTGTTACATATTATGTATAAGGTTTTGAAACGGGCTTAGAAAGGTGCCATATGATAAAAAAACAAGTCAAAAATCGATCAATTATTGTAAAAGTATTCTCAGATGTATAGATAATGAGAATAATTAGGTATTTTTCAAAAAGAGTTTGGTGTGTGGTCAGAGGAGTGAAGGAGACTCGGACACATGACTTCAGTATTTTAAAATGAGCCCTGCCTTTGTTTTTTTTCAGGGTTCAAGTGCTCCAGTAACAGTCTTCAAGGGCTCCAAGAGGCCGTACATGAAAGAGTGCATCCTCATCGTGAACCATGACACAGGAGAATATAGACTGGAGAAACTCAACAGCAACATAGCTGTGAAGAAAACCAGGTGGGTAGCAAAGAAAATCTACTGACAAATAATGTTAAAGTTTGTCATTTTAACTTCGTTTACATCTCTTACTAAACCGCACCGACTGTACTCTCTTTTAGAGTGAAAGCCAAACACAAAAGATTTTAAGTTCGGCTGAGGGTAAAAGGCAAACTGGCAGGAATAAAATACCCTGATGAATGGATTTACTGATGCTGGATTAGTTCATGTAATCCTGTAATGCCCTCTCAGTTGTGTTCACATGACGGGGGTAGATGGAAACATGCTCTGCTTCACATTTTTGTTTGCAGGAATTTGTTTAATGGAAACATCCTATCATTATTTCCACTGCGTGTTCTCAGGGCTGAAGGCAGTAGCAAGATCCATTCTCGCATGGAGCAACAGACCAGTCGTCTGAGCCAGCAGATGAGGAGCAACAACAACAAAGACAACGGCAGTAACAAAACCTCAGCCAGCTCCAAGAGTTCACCTCCCAAAGAGAAGACGGGCCCGGCCTCTCCCATGGACGACATTGAGAGAGGTGACGCTTTGCTAAAATGTCTGTAACTGCACTGGTTATTGATTGTTGAGGGTTTTAGCAGATTTGTATCAGGGTTTTTATGCAGAATCTTGTTTGACTGCTAGGTTTTTATTCATTCTTTTCCATAATTGGGAATACTCCTCCCTCATTTCCTCGTCTTACTTTGTGCTTATGACTCTGTGTGCAGAACTGATGGCAGAGGCACAGGTCATGGACCAGCTGAGCAGCGGAGACAGCTCCTCAGACTCCAACAGCTCATCTTCCAGCAGCGACGGCAGCTCCAGCAGCAGCGACTCAGAAGACGAACGTACTTCTGCGCCGCCCCCGGCCCCGGCCAACCACAGCATGCCGATCATCAACACCAGCAGTCGCCACCAGGAGAGTGGCGGACTTATGAACACACTCAGTGAGTAGCTCTCAGAGTATAAAAGTGAGATTAGCCTCTTTATCCTAGCGCTCTTTATTACAGCCAGTTTTTCCTCGGGCAAATGTTGGGGGTGTAATCGACTCAGGACAACTTTGATTGCTGCCGCAACTCAATTTCAAACACTTTGCAGACACAATTGGAAAATTTTGTGTAGTTTGCTTTTAACGTATGAAGAAAACAGCAGAAGATTCTGTGCGCCCAGAAGTTTCACAGCCACAGGAACATTTCAGGAACGTTCAGGCGAGAGCTGGGGCCTGGGTACAGCATGCGAGGGACAGGACATGTTTCTGTTTACAGTACGTCACCACAGAGTCGGCACGTTTCTCCAAAAGATAAGTCAAATTGTCTAAAGTGGAGGATGCACTGTAAAACAAACAAAACTGGATAATAAACCCCAAAAATTATCACAGGGGTCTTAAAAAGTCTACTCTAAAATCTTTGTTTCATTTAAGAGAAATGTTTTGGATAATTCCTATCATGCCTGTAATTTGCACATTTTCTCTACTTGGCTACTTCACCTTATATTCAATTATGGAGACGTGTAAGTAATTCTGTGACTCTGATCTTCCTTCATATCCATCATCTTAAATGTCATAATAATGTTCTTAAAAAGTCTTAAGTTAAAAAGGACTCTGGGACATGTTTTTTATAGATGCATGGAAACAGTCTCCAAAACTAATTTTATATCCTGCGTCTCCTTGTGTTGCAGAGAGCGACCTCCAGCTGAGTGAGTCGGGCAGTGAAAGTGATTGACCCACGTGAGCACGTTTGCCGACCTGTGGCCATCGGGAGGATTTTCAGTGACGAGTAAAGGAACCAGGCGGGGACCTGTTTCTGTCACTGCTTCCTTTAGCGTGTGCCTGTCTTCTCCACATATCCACGACTCTGCTGGCGAACACTGTACAATTTGTTGCTTCTCTGCCAACAAACTTCAAGGTTTATTGTTTATTTCTTGCTTCCTTATCTGTTTCTTTTGTATGAAGATCGTGTTGTGAGGTGTCTTAGTTCGGAGAGATGTGATGTGGTCGGTGCAGGAGAAGCAGTAAACTATGCATAATGTTTAATCTCAGTGGATGAAGATGTGTTTAATCAGAGACAGAAAATATTCCTGTTGTGTAGATGGATGTTTCTGACCATTAATCAGTTGCCTTAAACCGCCACTGTATCTCCGCTGATTCATATTTGGAACTCTTTGTGCCTGGGACAGACATTAAGCTTCAGCTTATTTTTAAGAATCTCCGCTGTATTAGTTTTTGGATTTGAGATGCAAATCTTTTCTTTTTTTGGATCAGCCACACAGAAATATCTTCAGCTGCTGCCTTATAGAGTTATTATAGTTAGCCTTAGAGCCTTTTGCTTTGAATTACTGAAACCCAGCTGCACAGCAACAAAATCTTTTCATTTAAAGTTGCATTAATGAAACTAGAAAGACACCAAGCTTAATGCCCTGTCTTGTATGCAAGACACAACATTTCATGGAAATAAGGTCTGTGGTTTTTGACTAATTCTGCTGCCAGACAATCACATGGCAACGAAAATGTCTTTGTTGGTTTCTTTGTTTATTTTCAGCAGGATTACACAAAAACTGCTGAATTGATTTCCGCGAATCTTGTTGGAAGGATGAAAAAATGGCAGAGAGACAACCCTTGACATTTTTACACTTTCTATAACATTTTGAGATCGATTTCCGAGGGAATAATTCACGGATCTACAGGGGTAGGCTTTTTTATTTACCTCAACTAACGTACAGTAACTCATTTTATCATGGGCTCCATCTTTTTAGACGGGGCCCTGGTGGAGAAATGCACTCTGAAACATAACATCGATTTAACGTCACCTTAATGCAAAGAAATATTCACTCTCCGCTCAGCTCTGTTGTGCTCAACCCCAAAGACATTGATCTGGTGGATCAGCTGCTTGCTGCTCCAGTACTTTGACGAGATAGTCGCTGACTTTGTCTCAGCTCTTTAAAATCCTGGAAACAAGCTTGACAAGAGGAGACGGTGGCTCAGAACAGGTGTCAACATTGGTTGAATGCTCTGCTGAGCTGTAGCTGAAAGGCTGATGAGTCTGTGCAGCTTCATAAACCCAGGAGAACTTGCGTTCTAATCATCAATGAATTCAATGTTTATATAAAGTTTTGATCACTGCAGCTTTAAGGATTTAGACGTCTGTAAAACCTAGTTTCTTCATATCTCAGTATAGAAGTGAGTCCGATTCATTCTTATGTAGTGCACTAGTGCTCAGTTGACTCAGTCAGGGTCTTGCTTTGTAGCTTTAAACCTGCAATACTTGAATCTAATTATTTATATTTCAAATTATACTCGACCAATCGTGAATTGCTTAATATATTTTATATATATTTTAATAGCCAAGCAATAGGAAGTGCAAGTTGGTGTGAACGTTACTGCGAAACAACCCAGATGCTTTGATACAGCACCGCGACTTGAGTCTTAAAGAAAACTTTGTGTGCCTTTTGTTGTTTTGCCTTTTTCCTATTAAAACATGTGACGTCTTGTTTTGCCCCTTATCGCTGCTGAGACGTCTCAGCAAACAGGAAGCTGCTATTTATGTTGCAGCATGTCTCTGGCGTGACGTCTTGTTCCTGAGGAGTCAATAATGCAGTGAGTTTAGCCTTAAAGAGCGGAGGGGTCACCTCCGAGCATCATTTGTAAACAATATGAGTCATTTCTTTGTAGAAGAATAAAGATTTTAATTGTTTTTTGATGTTGGTTTTTATTTAATTCAAGATCTCCTTAGTGAACGTTATCGTGTGCAGCATTTAAATGTCATCAAACATCTTTCACTTCATGCCGATAAGTATTTGTTTGTACAAAACGACCTCGCCTGAGTTTATTCACGTTTTCCCTGTCAGTCGAAATAATCGAGTAACGAGTGAAGAGTTACTGTAAATTTGTGGAGGGTTATCACCAGATGTATTTTATAACTGATCTTGAATACAGTTAAGAGAAACTTGACTTCAACTCAAGTCAATCTTGAACTGTTGAAAAAGCATTTTAGGTGCAGCTTCAACAGTGGCCACACCACAAACATGTATATAT